GATGTATTTTGTTCATTTGCGCTCACAAGGGATCTGCTGAGCATGGATATAATCTGTATTGACCACCTTACCTCTGGGCAGTTTAAGCGAAATGAATTATTGAAAATTGAAACTGGTGATGTGGAATACCATTGTTTTTTTACTGTTTTACTTTCTGTTGATATGAACTTTTTTAGGTGCTTAGTCAGTGCGACTCACCTTATGTTACGAAGTATTACGGAAGCTACCTAAAGGTACTGGTCTCAGTGTTCCATTTTTACTTATTTAAAAAAGTTCCTTCATCCATTTATTTTCAATTCTATATCTATCTATAATTACTTCAATGTATTACTCAGCACTTTTTGACAACGTACTTTCGTTTTTATTGATATGTCGTAAAGCCTTATTGAAGCGCTAAAGAGAAATGGTATCAAATGGGTATGATGAAGAGAGTTCAATGAGTGTTAAGCCACAACTGGGAGCTTCTTTGTAGTCGTAAGTTAAAAATAGCATTGTTCTACTATAGACTTATCATCACTGGAGGAATCTGGCAGTGAGCGGTAAAGTTACAATAAAGTTCATTTGGAATTGACTAACTAGGACAGTTACATTTGATTGCGAGTAGCATATCTTTCCCTCTATAATATCTTTTTGTAGAGTAGCACTACTAATGTGGTAAAACTGAGGGCCTTCCTTTTGCTTTAAGCTTTGGTAGGATCATTCGTTAAATTTGTTCTGACTATGGGATTTTTCATTAGCTAGAATGGCAACCTGCTCCTTGTGTAGCTCATTTCTTTTGATTGATTTCCATTTTGTGACTTTGACTTTTATTGTGTATCTCAATTTTGAATCACTTCCCCCCTTTTGTGCGTACAAAACATCAAACATATTGTACGTGTGCAAGCGCGGCGGTATAAGATCACTCTCGTGATATTCATACGTCTGAAAAGGCAGAGTTTCAAAATATATTGTAAAAGAGGAAGCGGGATCATCAGAATCGGTCAAATTTGCTGTTATTGACTAGGGCATTCGTTTTCGCAAATCTTTTGAAGGTGTTGGGATTTTTGAGAGTTTTGTTGGCTATTTCACATTTATTCTGTTTCATGCTGAACCAAAATCCCTTCGAAATAGTAAACAAAACTCTCCAAATTACGATCCCTTGTGCGTAAACTGTTGAATTGAGATTAGCCTGTCTCAATGCAGTTTACAACGTGAAAGAAGTAAGTAATAATCAATTATAAGTTGCACTGATTATTATGTATATTCTGGTATCATTATGAGGCACTTCTCGCTCTGGAGCGTTGACAGTTGAGCACACTTGGCCTGTCTTTGCCGCTCGTTACACTTTTGACATTTAGTCTTTTTGAATTATTTCTTAATATTCTTTTCTATTGCAATCCTGACTTTCTTTTTCCTTCACATCCATACTTCTAGGGCTCGAAGCTGTGGATAATCATGGAATATCTGGGCGGAGGATCAGCGTTAGATCTTACAAAAAGTGGGAAATTGGATGAAAGTCATATTGCCGTCATTCTCAGGGAAATACTCAAAGGTCTCGATTATCTCCACAGCGAAAGGAAGATCCATCGTGACATTAAGGGTAAGAAGAAGTTGATAAATATTCACCGATCTTTGTCATACGCTGTTCTTGCTGTCTTTTTT